GATTTATCGTATCTACGGATAGTATTTCCGTCGACCCTAATAAAATAGTTATTGTACGTAATTAGAAAGAACCTACTAATATAAAAGGAATTTAATCCTTTATTGATTTCTATAATTTCTATAAAAAATTTGTAAAGGAATTTAAAAGAATAGCACGCCTATTAACTAACCTTACTAAGAAGAATACGCCTTTCCGGTAAATCGAAGAGTGTTAAACCTCCTTTAACGAATTAAAAAATCGTTTATTAAAAACCCTAATTCTAGCCTATTTCTACTACGAAAAACCTACCCGAATTGAAACCGATTCTTTAAATGGCGTTTACGCTAGTGTTATATTACAATAATAACCTAAAGATAACGATTAGTACCCAATAGCATTCTATTCGGAAATTATATTCCTAATGGAAATAAATTATACTATTTATAATAAAGAATTACTAATAGTAATAAAAACTTTCGAAATTTAACGTACAAAACTAATAGGGGTATACCCTTTCTTTGTTGTAACAAACTATTAAGTTTTAAAATACTTTTCGACGAAACGACTCCTTAATTTGCGATAAGCCGGATAAACCGAATTTATATCCTAATATATATTTAAATTTATATATCGCCCTAATAAAAAAAATGTTGTAACTAATACTCTCTCCTGGAAATTAAAAGATTTAAGAACCGTTAAAGATAAGAAGGAAAATTAAAAAACCTTATATTTTTTCTAATAAAATAATAAAGAAATATACTCTTATACAAAAGATAAGGGAAATATACCGGCGTCGGATATATAAATACTAGTAGTAGAACTCTATTTATTAAATAATAAAGAAGAGCCTCCGCTGCTATTGGAAATAAAATTAATAAATGTTTTATTAAAGGCTAACCAAAAAGATCCAATATTATTAATATACCGAGTAAAAGCGAAGAATAATAATCCCAAATTTACCCTCTAACTAAATAATCTCCTCCTTAAAAAGACCGACCAATTTATAATTCCGGAAGGAAACTTCTAATGTACGCTCATTTACGAAGCCTACGTACGCCTTATTACCGGCCACCCCGGTCGAAATAAAATATAACGATTAATATTCCAATAATATTAGTAAGTAAATATATCTAATAATATCGACCGTTTCGTTAATAATTGCTGGACATGCAAGGCCTCAAAAGTCCCGCGCGATAAAACCCCCGGATTATTATACCCTTTAAACGTACCTAACCGCTCGTAGTAATGTATTATTATTAATTTTAAAAGTATACTAAAGGATAAAAGAGGATATAATAATGTAATAATAATAATAGACCGTTTATTCAAAGCCTTATAGTATATTTTATATAAAAATACTATAACGGTTAAATAAGTAGCTTATTTATATTACTACGGTTTATAGAAAATATACGGATATTCTAAGGAAATAATTAACGATTATAACCCCTAATTTATTTCCTCCTTTACTAATGAAATATTAAAAATCTTAGGTATTAAATAGAAACTATCTTCCTTAGGGTATTCCCAAACGGCTAGATAAATAGAAATTATAAATTAATATATTAATTAACGCTTTTAGCTATTTATTAACTATAATTAAAATAATTAATTAATAATATTCCCTACCCTTAATACTATTCAAATATTTCTTCCCTACAAAAATATCAATATATCCCTATACAAAACTATTATAAAGTACCTAATACTATTCCTATTCTATTAGGACTAATGTACTATTACCCCAACCCCGGCAAAAGAGAAATATTTAAAAGAAGAAGCCTAAAAAATATTAAAAACGCTATACAACTTCCAAAAAACCGCTCGCGCTACTATAGTTAAGAAATAAGATAAATAAGCTATATAGGCGAATAAGTACTGCCGGGAGCCCGATTTTAGAATAGAAGATCGTATCTTTATTATTAAAAAATCCTAAGCTACGGATAAATTTAGTAATAAATTCGACTTCCCCTTTATATATATTCCTTATTATATTAAAATACTATTGGATTTTTCCTACAAATTAAACGTACCACCTATATAGCGGGGTACTAGGGTCTACTATACTAATTAGCTCCGGAAATATCCGGATAACCTATTACCGGACTAAATAAATAAAAATTTAGTAGGGGAAATAATTAAAAACGAGGAAGAATAGGAAATCGATAAAATTACTATATTATAACTAATTAACGGAAAACTTCACTATTAAATAGAGTAGAAGGGTTAAGACCTAGACCCTACCTAGTATCCCGCCCGGAATTTTAAAAACGCCCCTAATATATTCAAAGCCTTTTATAATGTAAACCCGGAAAAACCCGGCCCTCTATAGCGCTTACGTATATAGAAGGGTATTCAAATAAAGGATATAGTACTAACGGACCACAATAATAATAATATACCGGTCGAAGGAATATAAGGGAAGTTATTAAGGAGGTTAAATCGCTTATGTAAGTAAGGAGTAGAAGATTGTAGTAGAATTAATAAATAGCTACTACTATAATGAATTATAATAAGCAATTCGTAGGACTAGTCTAATAGTATAATAGTAGGAGTAAGGGCCCCTAAACTATATTGTAAGCCACCCCGAAGGTACCCCTCCTCTACCTAGAAAGCGATCGTACAGAAAAACTACGGGTTCGAACTATATTACAATCACATTTTTTCTTTTCTACGATTCTAAAGGTAGAATCCTCGGTAAGGGGGGGGGTAATATTATGGCCCAGCCCTACTAACCTATACCTAGGCATATTACTGTACGATCGCTCGGATGCGAGCTGTACGATCGTTCGGATGCGAACGACTTGATTGGTTGTAAATTAGATAAAAAGAGTGGTCCGAGCAACCTGGGTCTGGAGGCATATCTTCCAGCCCAGCTGCCCGTATAAACTCTTCCCTTTTATTTTATTCTTTAATCGTAAATTCTATGTTGAACGTCAATAATACTGCAGCCCTGCCTCGCCCGTTACGTGCCTTCACATTTACCGGTTAATAGGTAAGTTCCCTAATAATATATTTAATAATTTAACTACTACCGTCGATTACGAACCTATAGACCTTTAGGTTAATTTTATCGATTTCTAATATTTCCCTTTTAAAATAGTTTAGAGTAATAGCAGTACGTTTATATATTAAATTACTTATCCCCCTACTATTATTACTATATTATTAATATTTTATTAATATTTCCTCCCTTATATAGTAGAATAGTAGGTACAATAAATTAACCTTCGTAAAATTTTATTATTAGGCGAGGATAACCTTTATTCTTACAAAACATATTAGGTACCTACTTATATTACGGAATTATACGTACTATTTACTATTTTACTATATATTAGCCTCTACGTAGAAGCGAACCTCCCCTCGTACTAGTAGGAGAAAGAGGAGTGCCCAAATTACCTAGTCCGTAATTAAATACCTTTTTTTCGGTTCAAAATACTTCTAAGGCGCTTTTATATATAGGATCCTACTCAAAACAATCTTATTCTCTAGGATAGAGTATACGATTTTAATAGATATATTTAGAGAACCTACTTTAAATTACAGACCCCGCTATAATATATTGCTATTAATAAGAAGATAGTAAAATATACCGGTAGAAGTACGGTAATAGTCTATATCCCTAATAAATTAGTATTGTAGGGTATTAAAATTTGGATTACTACGGCCGGCAGTTATTTCTTTAATTGGAGGTAGTATAATAATACGGTTAACATTATTAATTTAAATAAATATATATAATATTCTCCACCAAAATCTATTTAACAATTAGTTAACTAAATATTAATAGGGCGAATTAATACCAATTCAAATAGTAGTAATAGAATTAATAATTAAATTACCCTACCTACTTTATTAGTCGGTTTATTACATCTTTACTAATAACCTTTTTATTACCTTCGTTCTTGCGTACCACCTTTATACTAAGAATATCGCAATTATTAGTATAATATATTCCAACCGTATAATACTATAATTCGCCAAACTTTGAAAAATCGATAATAAAAAAGAGAAGGTACCCTTTAGGGCACTATATCGGGCAATATTAGATATATTAATTCCTAATTCTAAAAAGGGTAAGTAATCTCCACTAAATAAGGATTGGGAAACCGGAATAATATATTTATATATAAAAGATTACTAAATAGTAAATTTCTTATTTATATAATATACTAAGGATAAAGTATATAAATATATTTACTACTACTATCCTATACGTAAGGGCGCTATAAAAGACTATTTTAGTAATAAAGGTTATAAATAAATTTAAATACTATTAATTATATAGGTATATAATAGTTATATAAATAGGGTAAATATAGGTAATTAATTATATACGTATAATACGTATAGCTATTATTACTATTGTAAATTATTTATAATATTATTTATTAATTTCTATTTAGATATATTACCTATATTAAATTTCTTAGTAAATACTATACTAATAATATATTACTATTATTAAAAGTTATTATAATCAACCTCTTTCTTAATTAGCGGGAAAAGCCGTTTAATATTCCTTTTAATTAAAAGTAATAAATTATATATATAAATTTTCGAAGTTAGTTAATTAATGAGATCTAGGTATTTTACGGTAAATATACTATATTATATTGAATTTCACTAACCCAATCCCTAATATTAAATATTAGGGAATTTCCAACCAATTATTATAAGCGAGTGAAATTTAATAACCGATCTAACTATATAATATATTCTTTAAAAAAGTATAGAGAATTAGTTACTTTTAAAACCAATAATTCTCCCTCGTATACTACTTAGTTATGTATTAAAATATATTTAAGGTATAGTATGTGTAATATAGCGATTTATAAGCGAGGGCGATATTGGGAGGCCTATATTCGTTAAACGGTTTTGGGAATAATTTTATTGAGTTTGAAATATATTAGTTAATATTATCCCTAACCTCTCTATACTAAGTTATACTATTTTGTAATATTCTTTACAATAATAAAAAGTGCTATAATTGCTAGCAAAATCGAGGTATCTGCATGGGTGCATATGTACAGGTGGATAAAAGGAGGCCATCCGACTGGCCACATCAGGGTCTTGGCAAAAATGGTCCCTTTTTACCGTTAAAGGGATAAGCCCTTCTCTACTATGAGGTAGCCGTACAGGCGGACTTGCGCAAGTCCCCGCCCGTGATCCCGTCTAGGCATGTGGTTCTGTAGGTCATTGAAGCTATGAAAGGCGACGTGGACCAAAATCCTACCTAGGATATCATGATATGTACTGAGAGCGCGAGCGTGGCCGAAGCCAGGGACGACTACTGCGTATTTACCGTTCTAAAGTAGCTTAGAGTAAGTGAAGTACAAATGTCCAAGATCATGTTTGACTGTACCAAAAGAGCCCGATTCGACTCGTGTTCCGCGGAAAGTTTGCAAGTTATCTTGGCGACATGGATACCTGATAACACCAAGTCCTCGAAGACATCGATTCCTTGGCTCGAGCGACTGAAGAGACTACCTATCCATGTCGGACATGTCCAAATCGAGAAGCCATCTTACATCTCGCTTACGCTCTGACAATTGACAATTGGACATCGCATTGCGAAACAACACTGCCTTCGTTCCTTCCCCAGGTCGCCGAGCTCGGTTGTCGTGCGCATGCGCTTCCTCCTTCGACACTGCGACACTGCAAAGACAGGACAATGCATATGCAAGCCCAAACAATACAATGTGTGTGTGTTGGGCAATTTGCTTTTGTGATTCGCTAGCGAAGGCAATGTAATTTCATCAGCGAGCATGCTGCCCTGAGTCCCTGACGAGAACATGATTGAGCCTCTTTGAGCCTCCATGATGTCCCGGTGCCTCTCCGGTGCATACCAGAGGGATCTCGAGGACGAAACTTGACTGGATGAGAAGGAGCAACTCTAGTAGGGGTGGTGCATGCATGCTGCATCACAACAACCTCTCGAGAGGAAGGGAACAACAACATCAAGAGCAATGGCTGAGACGACGATGGCAGAAGTGCAGTGTGGCGTGAGGAGCCAGGATACTAGAGCGCGGCTATCTACTTGGCATCGGTCGGATGAGATTTCATGGCTAGGCATATGGTGGTTGACCATCGATATCACTCCCTCGTTCGGTCGGCGTTAATGTACCTAGTGTCTCGGGACGCAGGACCTTTTCTTTTTGTCTTTGTGTTTTCTTTTCCTTTCGGGGTGGGGGGATTGGCGTTCTGGAAAAAGTATCAGACCATCCAAGGCATCTTCACTTTCCCGCAGGGGATCTTAAAGCGAGATGTGACGAGGCAGGTGCCGTGTATGTGACTGATCCTCTCGATAGTACATATGATAGGTACCTTACCTTGCGCGCACGGGCTCCGATTTGCAGCGAGACAAGTTGGAAAGTTTAAGTGAAAGGGTCAAGCGCCCTCCGCAAGAGCAAGGCAGGGCAGGGGGAGGGAATCGTGGAAAGCGGAGAATACGAGAGTTGGTGATACTGTTTGTTGGACGAAAGTTGGATGCTACCGTGCTCATGAACCAGGTCAAGTGCGACAGATCACAACAACCTTAGCTCCAGCCAAAGGGACCACCGTCACGAGGGCCTCCAGAGTCAGGACTTTGGACTCACAGGACTTCTCCATGTACACTACCTATCTGGAGGGGAAAAGGCGTGGAAAAAGCTCCGGTGATATACATATACAATCTTATTACGTCCTCGTGCAAGGGTAGGAGAGCTCGTTCGAGATTGGTGCAGTTTTGTTCTTGTCAAGTTGCACTGCTGATGCTGTAGATATCCTCTCTCTACTTTGCCTTCCAATGGGACGCTGAAGAGCTCTCAGGTAACGACGAGAGGGGCAAGGCCAAGCACTTTCTTTGGATGCCTGACAGCAAGGTTCAGATGAAACCGGGAATTGGCAACACCCCGCCGCCGCCGCAGCGCGTCGTCCTCGTCGTCGTTATTGTTATTGTTTACAATCTCTGCATAGAATGAACTTCACGGAGTGTTACTCACTGTTCTGGATGCACCATTGTGGTACAAAGCTCAAACACGGCGGACGATCGAATGCACCTGAATCTCATTTTGGTCAGTCCAGATATGGATGGCACTTTGATATTAAAGTTATTAGAAGGAAAAGGTTTTCCAATTGCTCCATCCAAGACGAAACACTGCAATGCCTCTCTTCACTTTGGCTCAACACTGCCAACTCATTCGTGCATCTCTCTAAAATCGTCTCCTTCCTTCTTCATAACACTATCGAGGCGCTTCTTTTTGTTTTGTTTTTTTCCATTTGTTTTGGGCGAGAAGATGCCTAAAAAAAGAGGGGACGTCCCCGCTTTGGGTCAGTGATCACTGCGCTTTGACAGGGTTTCAAAATGCATGCAGTCCGGTGTGTGGGGCCATCACGGCTTCCCGCGAAAAAGAAAACTGCAAATGCCCCACTTCTTTCACCCTGAAACTTTGTCAGAGCTTCCTATTCGCTCCTCACTGTGTACTTGGGGGGTTCTGGGCGCCAAGGCTTTCTTTCCCCCCTACAAATCGACTTTGTAGGGGGCGGCAAAAAATTGGAATAGTATTTTAATATAGGACAGTGCTGAAATAACCCATGTACATTCGCCTATTAACGCCGCGCAAAATCGCTCTTTTGTATTGTGAATTTCGCTTAATAATAACGCCGACAATAGTGCCCAATTACTATTTTTCGTCGTCGTATTACCCTATAAAGCTATAAATTAGTAAGACTTTTATATATTTATAGATTAATTGAATTATTAATTAATTTATTAGTGTTAGTGCCTGTAAATTACTCCTTCGTTCCTTATATTAGTGTAACTATTGCCTAGTAATATCTTAATGTATGCGATTAGTATAGTTCTTTTAGATTTAATAGTGGCTATAAGAAGCCTCTTTCTATAAGGGATATTATATATATAATTGGGGAGTCTCGTAGTTTAATTGGTCGGTACGCGAAATTATTATGGGAAATTAGTAAGCCGGCGGTATTGTTACGGTTATAAGGGCGCCTATGGTTGCTAATATATAATAAGGAGAAGGTTATTATTACGTATGTAATTTTCTATTTTAGAGGAAGGTTCTCTATATTATAATTAATAGTAATAGTTGTTGTTAATCGGTTGAGGTTAATAAGAGTGAATTTATTAGCGACCGAATTTAATAAATATTAGTTTATAAGGTTTATAATTGATTATCCGGAATTGTATTTAATGATGTATTGCGTTGTGGATTTTAAATGTTGTTTTTGGGAGTTAAATACTGAGTTGGTGAATAATTAGTTTAATAAGTATAAGGATATTATTGCTACTATCCCTTCCTATAATTATTAGAATAGCGATAAATGTAGCGTTTGTATTGGTTGTGTATTAAATAGTTGTATGAAGGTTGTTGTATTGAGAGAGTTGGGGGATAAAAGGAAGGTTAGTAGGAGAAATTTGATTTAATTAAGTATAATCCCTTTTAGTTGTAGTATATTAATAGTTAATTCTAATTAGAAATATTTAATTTAGTTAATAGAGAGTTATATATTTTAATTACTAGTATAAATACCGTTGGTAATTATATTCCTATCTACTTTATTTTTAAAATTAATCCTATTGAGGAGTTTATTATTAATAATCTCTTTAGTAATATATAATTTATAAAGTTACTTATTGGTTTTTCGAGTATAGAGATTATATTTGATTAATTGAAGTATTTTAATTTATATAATTTTAACGTATTATTAACGTTTAAAAAGATTGGGTATAACTTTATGGATTAGTTCGGTTATAATTAATATAGATATAGTATTAACGGCCGTTAATTAGAGGATTATACTATTAGTATTGGTAAAAGGTAGTTCCTTAATATAAATCCTATATATTGACTATTTATTATTAATAGCTTTAGTAATTATTACGATATAGTAATTAAATAGTATATTAAAGTATTTAATATTTATATCCTTGCTTTACTACTGTATTTTACTTATATTATATAGCCGCTTAATGTGGGAGTTTTTTCCTTTTTTAAATTATATTATTAGAAAATGCTTTGCGAATTTGTTTAATGGGGCGAATATAATTTTAATTATATAACTTTTATTTGTGAGTTTAATAATATTATTACTAATAGTTTTATAATTTATAATATTATAGATGGATTTAAAGATATTAGATTTTAGCTAATTAATAGATAGAGGGTATTATTATAGATTAAAGTTAAGTAGCGTTCTTTTAAATTTAACCCTACTTATTTTAATATAATGCTGTATAAGGATCGGTTTAAGAAGGTTATTAAGGTTATTGACTGTATTACTAATTATTATTCTGATACGTTTAGCTTTCCTATTTGTATTAATTACCCTTATATGTTCTAAATTATAAAGAAAATTATATTTAATTATAATAAAATTTAAGAAAAAAACTAGTATAATTGCGAGAGGGAGGTTAATTTCGATTATTGTATAAGGAGGAGAGTATATAAAATCCCTACCGGTAGATTATTTCTATCTTTTTTAAAAGACTAACTTAGTACTATAGTAATTGAAAAAGTTTAATAAAAAATATAAAATAAGATAAAGCGGTAAGAGCGAGTTATAAAAAGAATTAATAATGTTATATAAAAGTAGTTTAAAGAGTAATAGAGAGATAATAAAGAAGGGGGGAAGTTAATTAAGGTTATATAGAGTACTTAGTTTAAAAAATATAAGAAGGATTATTAGTAGGAGTATATTCTAATTTATAATAATAATATATTTAATATAGAGGAGAATCCCCCTTATTAAGTGGATAAAGAGGGTAAGCCGCTGGTTTATTAATAAGTCTAATATTATATAGAGTACCCTCTATTAGTTATTTCTAATAATAAGGATATTAAAATTATTATTAATTGCTAGTTAGCCGCCTAGTTAGAAACCTTTTCTTAAATCGTTAGAGATCCTTGTGTATAAGTATAATTAGAGGATAAGATAGATAAGATTTTCGTTAAGGATTTTTATGAGGATGATATTGCTATGGTAATAGGCGAGAAAGTTAATAACGAGGAGGAGGAAGAGGAGGAGGATAATAATAATAGGGATGAGGAAAGTAGGGAGCTTTTATTTAGTAAGAAGAGGACTAAGCTAATCGGTTAGTTAATTAAACCTCTAATTATATTAATTCCTAAAAAGAAGTTTGAATAGTATATGCCCCCTACTATTAATATAACCTTATTGCCTAGATTTGGTGGTCCCTCTTTAGTAATTACCCTTATAATTCCCCTCCTTTTACGAGAATGTAGATTCGAAGATACTATATAGGGAAGTATAATAAAGCTATTAATCGAAGGTATAGTCCGATTTAGAATGAGGTATTTAAGTGGGTAACGGCCGGGGTAAGCTTCGTTAAGGTAGGAGGAGATAGTCTGAGGTATATATAAGTAAGGGGGGATTTTAATTAGTTAGTATAATACTATAATATATTTAAATAAGTAAAATAAATTATTAGATCTATTATTACATGTATACCCTTCCTATTTGGGTAGTCTATTGGGCTTCCTAATAACGTTGTGTTGATAAATCCCCATATGCAAATAGGGTGTTAAATATGTGGATGGGTCACTTTGCTAGTAAATTTCTATGTGGGGTGTCCCATATTAAAATACTGTCCCAATTTTTTGCCGCCCCCTACAAAGTCGATTTGTAGGGGGGAAAGAAAGCCTTGGCGCCCAGAACCCCCCAAGTACACTTCTAACATCTGAGGACTTCTCACTTCGTCCTTTCTCATGCTTCTCCTACATACTCACCTTGCACAACATGGAAGCTGGGAGTGCACAACTCGCATTCGATTGACAGAAAACGATTCATCAGAGACACCGCAAGAAAGCCACTGAGATTCCACCATCCTCCTTGCTTTCGGAGTGAGGCCCCCGTTCCCCGCGTGCAGATCCACATACCTCAACCGAGTAACCTC